TTTTTAGCCACTTGTGGACGGTTGGTTCCTTCACAGCATCATCCCCATAAACTGTTCTGAGATCGGCAAAAATTTCACGGCCATTCTTGCCGAGTTTCGAGAGAAACTTGATTACGACGCGCTGCTCTTCAACGAAAGCGGGCTCCATGCCGACGGGGTTTCGTTAAGAGGTAACTTCACAGATGGCGTGACAAGCCAGTTCGCACCGCACGGCGGTCAGACCAGAACTGAAGTATTGTTAGGGACATAAGGAAGGGGTCCTGCGCTTACCTGGCCTCCCCACTCCTCTTTCTCGCATTCCAGAACACTTTTATACGAACTTTCCGGACAGACCTCGTAAAAACAGAATTAGCGAGAGCTATATTTGTAACAGGGACGCCATTATCGATGGTGCAACATCCTTTATGGATACAATTTTTCGAAAAATTGCAACCAAAATTTAAAATACCTTCACGTAAAGCTTTAGCGACAAAATACTTAGATAAAATATATAGAGAAATGCGTTTTGAGTTAAATGAGGAACTAAATGCTTGTAGTTACTTACACCTTCAGTGCGATGGCTGGTCTAATTTAAGAAATGAAGGAATAATAAACTTTCTTATATCAAAACCTCAACCTGCATACGTTAAAAGTTTGAATACAGAAAGTAATCCTCACACTAGTGAATACCTTAGCCAAGAAGTTGAAAAAGTAATGAAAGTGTATGGAGCAAATAAGTTTCTTGTACTTATTGGCGATAACGCTAGAAATATACAAAAGGCATTCGAATTAACAAAACTCAAATATCCACATGTTGTTCCTCTCGGTTGCTGTGCACATATCCTTAACTTGTTGTGCCAAGATATTGTAAAGATACAAGAAGTAACTGTGTTTATTATGCAAGCCATAAATATAATAAAAACTGTTAAAAGGAGTCAACGATTAAGTTCCTTGTTGATAAAATCAAGGCAGGGTGAAGATTCTACACAAACACTAAAATTGCCTTGTGCTACAAGATGGGGAAGTCATGTTACTTCGTTAAAAAGTTTGAAAGCAAATAAGATAGCTTATTATTTATTATTAATTAACAGTTAGAGAAGATGTGGTAATTTCAAGAGATATTAAAGATTTAATTCTAAGTGATGATTTCTGGACGAAGACAGGGGAAAGTATAAGTATTTTGGAACCAGTCACTGAAAGCATATTTTACTTAGAGAGCGACCAGAATCGTTTGCATCGCACATACATTACATTTAGAGATGTACAAGCTAAGATACGTTTTGCATTAAATGAGATTTCGACATTGAGCGAAGAAAGCAAACAGCAGATTCTAACATCAGTATCTTCAAGATGCAATATGGCAATGAGGCCAATACATTTTGCAGCATATATTCTAGACCCCAGGACTCTAGGAGTCGAACTTACTCAAGAGGAAGAACTTAAGGGTATGGAGTTTATCTACAATTTAAGCCAATACTTAAGTTTGTCAAATGTAATGGCAGATTTGGCGTGTTATAAAGCTAAAGAAAACTTTTGGGCCAGAGGATTTGTATGGAGCTCATTAGATAGCATTGAGCCCCTAATATGGTGGAAAGGTATTTGTGGTTCCACTGAGTTAAGCAAAGTAGCGATTCGTATTCTATCAGCTCCCTGTACTTCGGCAGCCACTGAGCGTTCCTTTAGTATCCAAGGCTACATACATAATAACAAAAGAAATCGACTTACAACTGAAAGAACTGAAAAAATTTCATTCATTTGTTATAACTGGAATCTTAAACATAAAGCTGAATGCGAGGACATTCAGTTTAATGAAGAAAATACCTTAGAAGCTTTCATTGAGCAAGTAAATGAACATAACAGTTTAGACGAAATAGAGCCTATCGAACCTATACAATTCATCGCTTGTAATAACTCTGAATCTGACAGTGATTGACTGTAGTTTTACATTTTACTTTCATCTCTTTCTTAATAAACTCAAAATCAAATTAAAAGTTTTTTATTCTGTAGGCTGCATAATAATATTGTCTATGTCCAGTATAGTGGACGTCTTGCGGCTGAGATGACGATGATGAAGTACAAAATCATAAACACCCAAAAATTTGGGTGTTTATGGGGTTTAAACCCAATAAACCCAAAACACCCGGTTTTTACCCACCAGACTTTAAACCCACCCAGGTGGATTGCCCATCTCTAATGTTAACACATAAAGACAATTTCGATTTGTTTAAAAACTTTTATAATAGATAGACCGTAATGTTTAGGTACTTCTATACCAAGAAGTATGTCTATCTTTCAGTTACTTATTTAATATATCTAATACCTACTAATATCTATATCTAATATCTACTTAGACAGCCAATACTTCAGACTACCATTATCTTAATATAAACTTCTTTAACAATAATTTTGCCTTAGAATTAAGAATTAGAATATCTACTAAATATATCTTTTAGTCTATCTAGGGTTTCAAGAGACGCGTAAAAAGCAGTTTTCAACTAACTTAAAAAAAAGAGAAAGTTCTCAGTTTGGTTGTATTTTGTTTTTATATTTGTTAGTTCGGTGAAGGGTGGTCGATGAGAATGAAAACAGACCAGTTAGCCTATCATGATGAATTCATCAGGAATTAACCATGACAGTTTCCAGGGAGAACCGCGAGGAGGTCGACTTGGTTGGGTATATTGCTAGCAATGGGTTTCTCAGTCTCCATTACTAACAATCCCATTCCCCCCGAAAAACCGTCATTTGAAAATAGACTTAGAAAATTCTTTTTTATCTGAAAGGATACACTTACAAATTGGTTCCATAGAAATTTTATTAATATCGGCTTAATTGTTTAATTTTTAGATCAAAGTAACTGGTTGTGACGACTAAAGTTGTTTTTTTTTGTTCTGGTGGAACAATATCTATTATAACACAAAGTTGATAATATACCAGAGATAAAGTTCCTTTTAAATTCCAACGAATGTGTTAGGGTTGTCACAGGAAATTAAATATAGTAAATATTTTTTCATCATAATGCTAATAAATTCTAGTTTTTGAACTCGACATTGTTAAGTTACAACAGAACACCTATTCAAATTCATTAAATTGTTTTTTTCTTTTTATAGAATAAAATTAATTGGTAACCCAGTCTGTACTATTGATATATAATGAAAGAGTACCAGTGATTGATGATAGATGAGAATTAAGTCACGTTAGTTAGTCCATCGTGATGAATTAACCCGTCTAGCTGTTTAAGGGTGCTATATTAACAATCATCTAAGTAACAAATTCATGTTAAAATTAATAAGATTAGTAGAAAGGTCTTTGTACCATAATAAGCAAGAACGGCAAGACACATATTATTTTAATATTCATGTATACTCATATTATAGAGCAAAAAAAAAACACAATGGCATCGGAAGGAAGCAAGTATGAATCTATGAATGAATCACTAACGTCGGCGCTAGTGGTGTTTCTCTATAGCTATTGTCGTACTCTGTAGTATTGTTAAAATACTTTTTGTATAGAGTGACACATCGCATCTCAATATTAATATTATTGAAGAGCTATAACTATGGGTTGTTTGAATACAGCAATATTTACGAAATTAAGTTTATTTATTGTAAACACAATAAAATTCACAGCGGGAGAGAAATACGATTATAGTATTACTTACAAACTTCATATTGGAGTCTCCAACTAATATAACTGTTTATATATTAACTCTATTTCTATTATTAATATTGGTAATTATTAATTGTGAATAATTGTTAACAAAATTGTATCCTTTATATTACATATTTAGATCGATAAATAAGACATAATCAGTGTCATACAGTACAGATTATATAGATCTTTGGTATTCCTTATGCGTGCCAATTTTTAATTACTAGAGGGTTCTAGTTTTGTCCCTTCCCCTTCCATGTAAGTAACAGCTGTCTGTGAGCGAATGGCTGTATACTGCGTTTGATAGTTTAACTACAGTTTGACTATTACCGATAGGTGATGTCTGACGTTTGCATTTCCGGAGTAAAGACATGCGCAGTATTTGACAATTTAGAAACAAATGTCTAAATGAAGCAATACCGGTAGCCTAATTCTTAAAGATACTGCCCAAACATAATTACAAAATCCATTTAGAATAGATATGATTTTCATAATAATTCATTAACAAAATATTGCGAGGCTATTGTCATGGTTTTTTCCGCAATGCCAATACTTTATTTAAACGTCTAATCTTATCACATAGCAACCAAATCGTAGATAACGTAACAACGTTATGTATAATTTATGAGTTAAAGTTAACTGAATCGACGTAATTATCAGAATTACAAATTAAACGCAAATAATTCAAGGCAGACTAGAACGTCAAGGTAACCGTCTCCCAAAATATGTATTTAAAATAATGATTTCCGTACGAATTTTGGGGTTTCATATTGCTAGTAAAATATTTAGGTATTTCAAGTAAAGAAATAAACCGGACTGGACTAATGTACTCGCTATTTACCCATACATCGACTGTATGATATCTGATTATGAGTAATTAGCACGAGCACCACCACTGGTTGGTATCGTGCTCTAAATTTAACGACCACGTGCTCTGGTGGGACATTGTTCTGACGTATTCGGTTCACCAAACTGATTGGGGTCAAATGCCGTGTGTCTAGACGGCGCTCACGCATCTCAAGCTCTCCACTCTCCTTTTATGTGGCAGAGTTAGACTTCCATTAATAATTCTTCAAAAATTTAACAATTAAATAAGACAGTTATAATGTGTCCTTACTGTAGCTAGAAAAGGTAAAATGTACTTGCTTAAATTATGGCTGGATATATAATTATTGAATGAAATAAGGACAACAGAAAGACGGCTTAGTCTATGTGAGTCTGAGAGAAAGTGACATAAAATATGTGTGTATGCATAGCAAATACTTTCGTAAGTGAAATCCTAAGCGGAAATCTGTATGGAATGACGTGAAAAATTGTGCAATTTGCCAATGTCAATGGGAAATTACCGAGAAAATTGCTATTGTGTTACTTACGTTTTCATTGATTTTTCCTCTCGAAGTTCAGAAGGTGGCCTTTGACGTGGGCGACACGAAAAGGACTACATTTGAATTGGCACTGATAAGGGCTTTCGTGCGAACTACAATGAGCCCTGTAGCGACACGACCGCACTTGGTTACATCGATTTGACGAGTGGTCGGCCGCCTGGTTGGATGGGCTAGTATGGTTCAACTTCGTGATCATTCGTGAAGCACGTTCGGTCGAGCGCAAGCGGCGCCGTTGCCCGCATTCACGCAATACTTTGAAGTTGTTACCAGCTGTAGTTGTAGTGACGCACTTTTTGTGGAAAATTGTGGTTCTATTGACACAACTTACTTATCATTTTATGATTTGATTATATTTAAGTCTAAATTTAAAAATAGGTGCTCTTATTAAATCTCTTGGCTCGTGGCTAGTCGCAAATGAAATATTCTAGAAGAAATAAAGTAAAACAGATTTAAATAATAAGTCATATTATATAAACTTTATATGTCTTTTCATAAAAGAATAGGGAAATATTTAATAGATTTAAAGATTTTTGTACTTAGGTAATTTTGTACATAACAATTTGATATACTTTCGTACAAGTAGCGACATCTGCATGACAGTTGCTTCACTATTTGTATTTAGATATAAAGTGCTCTGCTTACATTAGATCACACAGTGCTACCCAAGCATGACAATAATTAATTCAAAACAATATCAAAAGATGGAAGTTATCGAAAATATAACAACAAAATGAATATAATATTTTTTCAATCATTTATTTTGTACTTTACTCATGTGTATTTTTGATTGGATAAGCTCTGAACCTTCAATTTGTTTATTTATAATTTCCAGAAGATAATACGTATAAAAGCAATTTTTGTTAAGTACAAATTATTTTAATGGCTTAGTCCAGCTCCGTTATCGCTAGGGATTGTGGTAAGGGGTTTTTTTTAATGGACGATAATGGAATTGTAACCCCGTTTGCGCTTACAGTATACGCTGGCGAAGTACCAGTGAAGAATGACCGGTAAGTAAGAAAAGGCAGGTCAGTTAGCCCATCGCGATGAATACACCTAGAATTCAGGTGGTTTCCAGGGGGGACTACAAGAAGGTCGATCTGACAGGGTATATTGCTACCAATAGGAGGAATAGTTACCAATCACTTTAATCCCAAAATTGTTATAAGATGTTTAAAGAAATAAAGCTTATATACTATCAATAAAGAAAAACTCGAAATAAAACTTTCTCATCTCTCCTAATCGAGATGGATCGATGAGTTGTTACATAGACTCGGGATTTAACACATGTTTGCGAGTTTGATTCCCATAGGTATACAGGCATTTGTTTTTATACTTATTTGTATTGATCTTGGCCATTTTTATGTATCCAACAAACAGAAATTATCCTGTTCAAATGTTTATGTTTTCAGTTTTTATTCTTTCCTTTAAGACCTTAATCGGACTATTATGTAAATTAGAAAATAACGAAATCAGTTCAGTCGTACTCAATTGACGAACTTATGAACAAACTATATCATACCATGTCAAAAACGCTGCCGAACATAGGCTTCCTCCTGTTAAGATGTTTTGACACTAGTTGCCATGTTTGGAAGGCGAGTTGACAATCGCAGTTATATCTTGGTGATGTTTTAAGAGGGAGGCTCCTGCCCAGTTCTCGATTATTAAGTTCCCTTAATTGCCTCGAAACCTATGAAAAAGGAAGAGGTGACCTATTCTATGCCGGGAGCACACGTCAACGTACAAACAGCGTTTCATAATATTTAACTTCATACCTATGTAATAATAATGTAATTAAGTAGGTACTTGTTATCTTATGTTACTTGTCACAGTACAAGCTACTCGTAGTAATTTATTTCAAGTAGTTTGAGGCTAAGTGATACTGTAATGTGAATACCTAATATGTCCATTTATTTATTACTTACTCTTAACCACGGCTTCAAGAATGGGTTAAAAATAATCTGTGACTTTCTTAATATGCATCTTATAATATGCGCATACCAAATAGAGATTAGTTAAGCCGTTAACGCGCTATAAGGTAATAAACAAAAGAACTTATTTTCGCATTTATAATATTAGCCAGGAAGTTATTCCGTGAAAATGGATATTAGCATTACAACTACATTATTATAAATTATCAAAGAATAGCGGAAATTTCTCCTTGTCGCCTACGATAAGTTGCATTTATTTTTATATATAGATAACAGTATAATCATTTGGCACCGTAACAAACATGCGACACTCATTCCCAAGTGGCGTACTTACAATTTATTTCATTAGTGCTGGCAAATCAGAAATGTCTTGAAATAACTATTTTGATTTTTGTAACTAACACGACTCGTTTTTTAAGTATGATAACGATTTCCGTATATGTATTTAATAGCAGGCAAGTTCACCTATTATAAGAAGTATCCATCTCCAACAACTTTAGTAAGTTGTTATAATGACGACGAATTCTAGAACATACTATAAAAACAACTATATTATCATTATCATGATTGTTTACTATAAGCCACTGCGCCATGACGTATGATCCCATGAGAACGTCATCCATCTCTTGGCGGCTACTTTAGCGATATCTTTTGAACTTGTGGCTAGGACTTGCCTCGTACTCTATATCCATCTCTAAAGAAATAATCCAACAATAATAATCTTGTTCCTAATAAAGACAACTATAGATCTATCTTAAATTATAGATGTGATCAAGTTGAAACTTACGTAGCAGAGGATGCGCTTTACACTTTGTTTTCGACTAGAACATCCTCTCTTATTCTTATGTTCCCTCTATATAAAGAGTTTTTAAAAAGTTATAAATTTCGTTTTTATAATAGTTATTAGTTTCGAATCTCACCAATCGGACGAGTTAATCTAGAACTTAAGTTTGATAATAGTCAAAATCATCGAATGAACTACTGAGACATTCCCACTATAATAAATGAGCCCAGTCATACATATCCGTGGGCGTAACAAAGAGCTTTTTTTGTATGACCCGCCTGCGCAATCGGTAAACGCTGTGCCGTGACACCAGTGATAGATGGTCTGTTAGCTCATCGTGATGAATTCAACCAGAAGAAGAGAAACCAGGATGATTTCCAGGTAGCTTGCTAGGAATGGGCCTGTTAGACCGCATTACTAGCAATATCTCCCCTCTGTATTCTTTAAAACTGCATGTGGTGTGAAATGCCAAACACCCTTTATTATCATTATCATTTGGATGATTAGTAAAATAATGAAGCGCTTTAAGATTCTACCTTCTGATAATTCCAGGTTCATATCCCGTGAACAAACGTTTGTATATATATGTTTGTTTGTTTAAAAAAAATATTTAAATATTTTCTATCATTTGTCTAGTACAAGCCTTGCTTAGTACTAAAAAATGCTGTGTAACAGGTCGAGTCACTCACAACGGATAACAAATAAATACATCAGTTGCTGAGAAAAACATCCGTGACATAATTATACACTTAAGGAGACTTTGTACAAAAGTCGATTGCTTGGGTACCTCTGTCCCACTCGTGTTTCAACCGTGAAGCAGTTGTGTTTGCATGGCTGTGTTTCGGTTTGAAGGGTGGGATATGGCGTGAATTTACTGGGTACAGAGGAATAACACCTGAGTCCTCAGGAATGGCAACGCATGGGGGGTATCATGGGCGAAACAGTATACTCTGTTATGTCCATGGTATTGCTCATGTCTATAGGCGACGGTTACCACTTTCCATCAGGTGGGCCGTCAGCTTGTTTGCCATTCTAAGTTGTATAAAAAAAAAAAAAAAAAAAAAAAACACTAAACGATACGAAGTTGCACATACCTACCAGAATTTTATATTTACATAATTTATATATTTTTTTGTCTTAATGTATTTAGGTACTTTATTTATTATAATTAGCGTAATAATTTAATGTAAAGAACCCTAAAAATATCGATAAATTTATAATAGACATGCAAAAATTTCTCTTTTTCCATGTGAACGATCCCCACTACATAATCAAATTTTATTATTCACTGGTTCGCGCGGGTTCATTCGCTTGGTAAATTGTTTGTAACTGAATATAATAATAATAAAGTATTTCCCAGAAATAAAAATAATATTGGCTACAAAAAGGAGGTTCTCAATCTGACGATGTTTGTTGTATATGCGATGAACAACCCAGAATTCTGTCCTTTCACTTTGTAATTGACACGGTTTTTTCTACGTTGACTAATTTTGTGACTATCAATGTTACGTTTATAAATAGTTTTTTTTTTTTTTTAATTATAACAAACGGCAATCTAAAAATGTGGGAGATTATTATTTTTTTACTCACATGCACTACACTATAAGGCGTAACATATAACAGGTTTCATTTTTTTTATTCCACTAAAGTAATCCAAGGAATACCTAAACACAAAAAAAAAGTTGTGCTAAGTTTTTTTTTTTATCTAGAAGGCATTTTGTCTAGACAGCATATTTTTTCTTTTTTTATAATGCTCAAACTCTGCCAGTCATATATACATTTTCATAAAACTTATCTATACCTACTGTCTTAGAGAGAAGTCAAAAGTCCCCGGAACCGCCGTAATTGGTGACGTGAATTTTATCGTGAAAATAGACACGATGTGTATTTTTATAGATGAGTTCATTCGTACTCCCACTGGATATAGGATTTTAAAATTTGTACCAGCGACTCGTCGACAGCCACCATACAAATGTGGTAAACGAATAATTTAGATCCAAATTGATTCTTATGCTTTGAGTAGTAACGAAGTTTTACATACAGTTAATTCGCTATATATTATTATATAGCTAACCGTGTCTGTGTGTAGAAGTTCAGGGGCCGTTACACAATCGTTGTTCATTTCCGATCCATGACCTGCCTCAAAACGCGCAACGTATGATCGTACAGCTGACAGTAAACTAACTTACACGTAAGCTTACGTTACCAATTATACTAATATTGCGAACGAATTACGAACGAATACCAGCAATGGACTTTTTTAAATATGAAAATGAAATGGTAACTCCACCTGCACTATTGAAGTATAGTGAAGAATGACAGATGAGGATGAAGTCAGGTCTCTTGGCTCATCGTTAATAATTAACTGAAATTAACCACTACGGTTTCTAGAGAGAACCGCTTAAAGGTTGACTTAACAGGGTATTCCCGCATGGTAGGTATGTATTTTATGAAAACAATGAGGTATTTATTTTTAATAGATGAAAAGAGCTGAGACAGAAGGGGATAATAGGTAAAGGTGAAGTTAGGTCATGTTCACTTACCACCCCATCATATTGAATCCACTCCAATCATTATTGACGATGATAGTTTTCAGGCGTAATCATGCCTACTTTAACTCGACAAGGGTCGTTATACCTCGTTACATAAACAATTTCTTAAACATTAAAAGAATTTTTTTAATAACGGAAACGCAGTGATGAACCCAACTGGTATCTCATCAACATATTTGAGGTTTACTTTATTAGTAGGTGATGATAATATCAGATCAGTTGGCCTATCTTAATGATGGGATATGATGGTTTTCAGGGGGAATTGCGTGGCGGTTGACTTGATGCTAACAATCTTCCCCTCCTTCCTTCTAGGCTCAGTATACGTTTACCGGGTTTCAATAAATGACGATAAGTGAAAATAAAGTCAAGTCAATTATCCTATCGTAGCCAATTGACTAGGAATTTGCGGTTTCCAAAGTGAACCGAGTCGAGGTCCACCTGACAGATTTGTTAATGGCATTATGGTCTATAGTTATACAAATATGCAGTTACTATTATCATGATACTTAAAGTTAAATTACTTTTCTCACTTGTAGGCGGGAGCTACTGGATACCAGCTCAGGCCTCTTGAGTTGGTTCAGAGATGTGCTATGAGAAACGTCAACGTTCCTAGACCAAAAGGTGGTATGGAGCCCTTTAATTTAAAGCTATGTTTTGTTTCTATCTTCTAATGCTTATATAGCGGATTGTGTTCTGAAGAACTTTTTACATGATGTCTAAGGCTATCTTTCGCCATCACACCGCTTGGCAGGGACTCCATCATCATAGCCAAAAAACAGAATGCTCACACATAGTCTGGTTTCAGAGGACCTTCCTCCTACTAACATTCAGGTTGTAAAATGATCTTCTTGTCAAGGTTTTTCCTAGAGACTACAACATGGGGTCCTTCAAAATGGGCATATTAATGTTTCTCTCGTAATACAAGTCTTTATAGACTACGGTAACCCCATTAGCCATCAAACATGCTTGTTTGCCACCATAGTAGTATAAAAAAGTATATTTGTTTATTTTTCATTTTTTCTGTTTAATTAAACATTGATGAAAATAAATACTGATAGAATTCACATCCCTGGGCGTTTTGTAAAAATAAAATGTTTATAAATATGTATATAGGTACGTGTTTACTTAGGTTTATATATAAATTGACAGTTTTATCTCTAACAGCAATTAATATCCATTACAAATTCGGTCTTATCATAATAGTTGACAACATTTATTATTAGGTATATTTTTAACCTAGTTACTGTTTTGATATTGATATTAAATTTAATTTAATTACTCATTTTCATGTAAATACCAAATGATACGTACTAATGACCCGTCAACAATTTATAATTATTAATCATTGATCTCGTATTGAAATTCAATGTAGAAACTCATTATTCAAAAATGAAGAAACATATTATATATTATTATATTTATATACAAGGACAAAATACAAAATTTCGGATTTCCAACTTTAAAAATGGTATTCTAATCTGCAAATATCCACACGTATCTCTAACTTCAATGTCATAATTATGAAATATTTTTTTAGAAATCCTGAAACACTGCTGACTGTGTTTTCGCCCGCGCAGAATCTATTATCTTTCTCATCATAAATAAATTATTTCTTAGTAGGTATATGCGTATCTATTTATATAAAATCTATATTAAGAATTTCAAGTATCTAAATTGATGGATTACTCAGTCGAGAGAAATCATATTAAGTAAATTATTCTAAATAAAAGCAAGAAAGTAATATATTTTCAAAGACTGTGTGTATTGAGTTGGTAACGTTGTTTAGACCTCTCCTCTGGATTAATGAACAACAAAATCATTTACTTCATAAAAAGAAGCGTAGACGTGTGTATTTGGTATGAGGTAGGTATATATATCATCAATTCAGCTTACGCATGCCACAGTTCTAATTTCAGATTGGTTATTTTGGTTGTTGGGCATGTTTTTTGTTTGAGTATCACAAAATCGGTCCAATTTACTCCATATTGTGTACGTTGGAACACGTTCCATTTGTATACACATAAAATTATGTATTTAATATAGTTTATTATATAAAAATATGTCACTATAGTATACATCATCAGCTATAGTCTTAACAATATGCGAAATTTTAATATTTACCTAAATGTTTATTAAGGGTAATTACTGTATTCACATTGTAATGCACTTACTAGTTTTTATCCACGATTTCGTCTGCGTGACTAGGAAAAAAATGTCCTATGCTTTTTTTCATCTCAAATAGTTCGTGGATACTTTTCATGACAATTTGCTAAACCGCTTAGTCGCTAAAATATAACAACCGAACAAGCTAGCTAAGGTATAAGGTGTTTATTAGCAAAGGTTCATCAGAATAGATACTGTTTTAAAATATTTATTATCTAGCATATATATTATTTGCAGTTATACAAAAGTTAATTTTTAAACGAAATTACTGGCTCAGCCAGTCTGGTTAAGTACATTCAAAATTTCTATTACGAGTGCTCGTATTGATCGGAAACGAAAAAATGACCTATAAACTAAAATTTACTTAAACCTTATACTTATACTTAAATATACTTACAAAGTAAACTGATACTACTTTAAATAAATTCATGATCTTTTTACTAAATACTTTTTTCATTACTAAAGATCATGACTCAGTGTTAAATTGTCATTGCTCTGCAATACCACGGTCAATCGCCCCGAGTAGCACTAGTAGGCGTATCTCTAGTCCTCAAATTACTAATGTTGAATTTAACGTGATTATAGTTTTATTTATATTTTAAGTGCAGTTCTAATTTGTTTCACGAGGGCTACCTATAGACTGTAGGTTCCACTAAAAATAGTGTTACAACAACATACTGCAGATTATTAATATGTGTTTTATTAACAATAGCGTTTTTCTTTTTTTATTAGTTACATTTCTTGCGCTAAATAGCTACCGTCTTTTTTCTTTCTCCTCTACTTAAAGGTTGGCTCGAAGAGATTGCTTTAACGATAAGACCGCTATTTGTACTCCATAAGTGTAATATAGATTTATTTTTGTATTATTCTTTAAATAATGCAATAAAGAGTAAATAAATAAATAAATAATGCCGAGTGTGATCCATTTCAGCTTCTATCACAATAACATTAAAAAAAATAAAAAATCATGGAGTATAATTTTAAGAGTTCTTAAAATAATCCATTATATGTACATATTTGCTTCATCAATCTCCAACACACATAACTAGATCGATAAACGTAATTGTAATTAACCAATAACATGTATATTTGTTTAACCTGTTTTAATATTTTCCGGACAATACTTGATGGTATGAGCGAGCTGTCCAGTGACACCACACTGAGGGCACCTATAGTTTTGTAAGAGCGGACATCAGACTCGCCCTCTGCCATCCTTCAAATTGTGCATCGAATACCAGAACACTGGCTCACCGTTATTCTTGCAAAACGCACATTCCTACACAAAAAGTTCAGTTAAGACCACAATGCAAATTATACTTATATACAGGGTAAAATTAAAGACATTAATATCCTTATAAAGTTCGACTAGTGAAAAGGAATATTTCTCCGAAGAAGTATGGGTTGCAAATTTTTAATCCCAGACGTGTTGTGCTAGTGTGGCTAGAATATTTTTTTTATTTAACAATCCTATTGCTAACATTATACCTTATAAGGTGGATCACCATACGGATTCACCTGAAAACCATAGTGGTTAATTCTTGAATTCGTCGCAATCAGTTAAATGACCTGCTTTTATACTAACCTATTATTAGTGTCTCGCCAGAGTATGCCGATAGCGGAAGTTTATCTATATAATACCATTCCATTTTCACTCATAAAATAAACATTTTTGTTATTTATCAACTCATGACTCTCTGGGAAACAGCTGTAATAACTATAGCTAAATAATTATTCATTTTTCTAAAAAACATTAAAATTTACATATTATTAAAGAACAATGCAAGATCTATTTTTTCAAGTGGTTTTTAAATCTGGTTAATCTATAATTTAACACTTTTTGAAAATAATTCGTTTTCAAATATTAACGGAATAAAAGATTTACTTGATTTTGTCAATTGTTAAAATTATAATGAACGTAACTATGTATGTATAATGTGGCCCATATTTTACTTAATCATATTTGAATTCAAAGTACCTAGGTACGAGAATGGATTGAAAAGTTCGCGGCCTCAGCAAGAAAACAATATAAAATATATACCCAAAAGTAATTTTATTTTTCCACGTAATCTCCACTTAACTCAATGCACTTCTTCCATCTGGTTTCCAACGCCTGTATGCCAGTCATAAAAAAAGTTACTGTAAGGCCTTCAAAAAACTCACCCACCGCACCTCTCCAAGGTGTTTTGTTAGGTTTGGAAATAAATGAAAGTCTGAAGGTGCCAAATCAGGGAAATAGACGGGATGGGGCAGTAATTCAAAGCTACAGTCACGAATTGGAGCCATAGATTCAACAGACGTGTGAACGCGTGCGTTATCCTGATGGAACAACACTTTCTTGCTGAGTAATCCGGGCCAGTAATCTTTGATTGTTTCACGCAAACGACGTAAAAGGGTGCAGTAATAAGCCGAGTTTATAGTTTCACCTTTTGCAAGGTAGACTACCATGATGACACCCTTAGCATCCCAAAAAACTGACGCCATCACCTTGCCAGCTGACAAAATTGCTTTGGCTTTTTTGGAATCGGTTCATCAGATTTTTTCCACTGTTTGGATTGCTGTTTTGACTCTGGGGTATAGTGGTGTACCTAGGTTTCATCCATTGTCACAAATCAGGCCAAAAAAACTTGTGGATCAACCTCAAACATTTTCAAACAGACGCGAGAAATCATTTGGCAACCCGCCTGCCAAGTGTGACAACTATTAGTAAAACTTCCTTATTAGAGAGGCCTATTTTCTGCAGTGGACAGTTAATGGGTAATAAAATAATAATAACAATGTTTTTCATCATCGGAGAATTAATCGGAACTTTATATAAACACAAAGTGACTAAATTTGAATTCCGGCTTATAAGTCAAGGTTGACTAGTTGGTAGCTCGCATCAATTAAAAGTTTAAAGTAAATAGAAGATATCAAAACAGCTAGAAGCCTACGGGAATTCTTTTGACCACCTATAAATCCCTATAGACGAATGAGGTTTTCATTTAATGGGTTTATGGCGTAAATAATAACAAGTATTTTGTTATGAAATTTTATTTATATATATTTATCTATGGGAAAGAAACCAGAAGCAGACTTTGCATATAGACATTACGCCTTGGCCCAAATTGTGTATTTGTCGTGCAGCAGCTGTAGTTGCATGTCTTTGTTTCCGAATTGTGTTGAATTCCGAATTGATTTGTAAATGATGGAGTTATGTGGTAATAGATATAAAATAGTACATTACTGCAGCGGCCAGCAACTGAGGCATTGATGAACGAACGTTTAAATGTGGGCCGAGGCGTAGTCGAGGCACACATACGTGAGTCCATCAATGTCTAGTTGTGCCAAGGCTTGTATAGTACTTTTTTCAAACAATGCGCGGAAATAAAAAAAAAAAACAATTTTATTTTTTAAGTTCAATGACGACTAACGAACAATAATATTTTTTTACGCGCCATAATGTTCCTTTGTTTTTTTTTTTCAATAAACACTTTTCTATTTGCAAACCAGTTCGAAATTTAAATAAAACCTTTTATTAGTTACCTCCTTGGTAGCCATGTTTTAAAGTAAAAGGTCATTCTGTGTTTAAATTACAGGACAGATATGAGTTTACATAGTAATTTATCTGGCCGCAAAACACGACAGATATGGATTTTCATACAACTTTGCCGGCCGCTGCCCGCATGTATCTGGCCAGTACGGCAATTTTGATTTATCTCTAAGAAGATTGTCAAAATAATGCTCATATTTCCAAGCAAGTTTGAGAAAAAGATGTTAAAAAAAAACTAAATAGATTTATGCACGTAACACGCACAGAAGCCTGAAAAATACATTCCATTTACAATTTGAAGATTAGATGGCTATTGAAATTAAGCACTTATTTTTAACTGACTTAAAAAATAAGGAGATTCAATGATATTTTTTACTGTTTTGTTATGTTAAATAAAATAAATAAATGTTTGTTATGTTATAAATCCGTTTGTTGTAAACCAATTTGAAAAAATATTTTTTAATCTGAAAGGATATGCTTACAGACCTCATACAAATTTTATCAATATCGGTTCAGTAAGTTTAGTTTTTAAATCAAAATAACTGGCAATTGAAGTCGGTTTTATTGTGGACCAATATTTAATTATTTGACATACAGATTCAAATCAATCGGAATTCAAATTTATTTTTCTCACTTCCCCTCTTCCCGAACGGTCCGTCACAGCAGACTATTGTTTTAATATGTTATAAATTTGATCCTTATTACTTGTATCAATCATAAACAAGATGCGTGTATTATATTATACAAAATATATACGCCGATTGCCGTTATACAATTTGTTTTTATTTTAACAATCCGCGAACATCCTCAACAAAAGTGCAGTCGAATTAAGTATCACCTATTTTGTGAGGTTGGTTAAAAATATAAGTACCTAACTACTATGAATTGTACAAATAGATAAGATTTATAATTTCAATTTTCCCTCAATAGATATCTGTAAATTGTAAATGGAATGTATTTTTCAGGCTTCTGTGCGTCAAAAGGAAAAATACAGAATCCTTAAAAGATCAGGATCACAAATAACCGTCATCATAACCGATTTTCTTAGAAACCACACCGACGAGTAAAATATTTATGTGTATATTTTTATGTAATCTTTGGTTCAATTCGTGTACCCTTAAAAATGTTTAAAAAATAATCTGGATTGTGATTCTCTTATAAACCGCAGTAAAATCGTAAATATTTATTGCGATAAATTATCGCATTATTGCTGCTAAATGATATTTGTTTATTTTTATAAGTTTTATTGTACATTCATATCTAAGAGAAATAACAGGTTAAAATAAATAATATTTAAAATTAAAAAAACAAATATTTAATTAAATAATCATTAAAATTAGAAAAATTGGTTATTTTTAAAAGAAAAATTACAAAGTGTATAGACGGATTTATCCTTTCCAGGGTTTTCTTCCAATCAATCTTGAGAATTCTAATGAAATTTTTTTTTTAATTTGTTTTTATCATAAAACCAAAGTAACAAATAGGTATACCAGAAACCACAGATGTTTGTCTGGAATACTTTCTATATGCATTCGAATACAAATTACTGTTTTTTTTTTTTGTGTTTTGTTTATGGGACCCAATGGCAGTCGCGGTTGCGCTATCGGGATACGCTCGCTTCTGCCGGGTTGGGGTTTAGGATTGAGGTTGAGTATGGTTATTGGTTTGGAAGTTTTTATTTGTGGGTTATGGTGTAGGTTTTGGGAAATAAAGGGTGGGGGTTTGGGAAGGAAATGTGAATGGATTTGGAAAAATGTTTATGTGTTGTGGTGGTTGGGTGTATATGTATGTGATTGGTTTGGATGTTGTTATGTTTAAGGTTAGGTTTATGAGTGAGATGTGCATGCTTTGGATTTTAGTATATTTAGGTTATGAATGTGTGTGTGATTTGTGATTTGAGATAAGTTTAAGTATTATATAAGTTGTGGTTTTGGGTGTTTTGTTGATTTATTTGGTGTGTTAAAGTATGAGTGGTGTAAGTGCAAAGTGGCATGGCGTTGATATTTTTCAATTAAATCTTTTTTTCTTTTTTTTATGCGATACTGTTTGTAATTAGAGCTTATAACTTATATTATTTTTCTTATAGTACCGTTATATGTATCTAAATTTCTACAATCTATTATGTTTCTACATTATGTTACATATGTGATGTTTATGCTTATTGTATTATTTAACATTTCATAATTATACATAGATTACAATTACCAATTTTACCATCTTATAGTAGTTCATATACCTAATATATTTGCGTATTTCCCCCTTATAGTCTATTTATTGCTGACAGTCTAATATATTGTTTTTTTTTTCCCTATATATGTTTACAATATTATGGTTTACAATAATAATAGGCTATTTGTGCGTCTGTACCTCTTGCGCAGTGGCATTTCGGCGTTTATGTCTGGGTGGTCAGATTGATCTTAATCTTCGTTAGATGGGGATGGGGGGGGGGGGGGGGGGCATGCCAAGCCTTTGCCAGTTTATTCCTTCTAATTCGTTGTGGTTTACAGTGCATTTTTCAGGCCTCCCTGTCAGCTGCGATGTTACTCGCAGGTAGTATTTTTCCGGGCTTTTTCTTATCTCATTTGTATTTCCGGTAGTGCCGGTTTGTAATGCCGGTTTATGTTATAACCCGCGTCGAAGTGTCCGCACAAAATGCACTGTTTGCCATAGGCAATCTTGGCCTGTGTATGACTGGGGGTCTCTCCAGCATCCTCCGCACCCACAACATCTGTATCAGAGCCAGTTTATTGGGCCGTGGTGCTCTCTTCTGTCCTGAGATTAGCTGCTGATAGTTTATGTTTGACTCGAATTCTGTTTACTATCGTTATTGGAGATGGTGGCAGCAGGGGTGGCGATAAGAGCGATGAGGAGGCCTGCGAGCTGATGCTGTAAGTGGCTAATACTTGGTTGCGGGCAGCTTAAGTTGAGACAGGTTATTGAGTATTAGTGTCGCCAGCCAGGTGTTCAGGCAGGTGTTCACTTGGCTTCTGCTGTTGTTCACGATATCGTGGTTCCATGCCATGCTCAACAGAAGGTCCCGCGATTACATCAGCGGATTGCTGTTGTCTATAGGGATGCGGGGGGACTGTCCCATATCCATCCTGTCTCGGAGATGTGCCACTGGTAACTATCGGTGAATTGGTGGCAGATGCCGATGATGTGGGTTGATTAGAGGCATAATAATTTCTAGGGTAGCTGGTATCCACTGATGCATTTTGTTCTGGTTGTTCACCTCCCTCCTCGTCGTCTGTGTGATAATAGCTATCAATGAACGCTCGCATATGCCTATATGCCGAGTCTCCCATTGCCTGGATAACTGTACATGTCCTCCTTAGGTCATTTTTAGCATTCTGAACCTATTTTGGAGATTCTTATGTTGCAAATAATTGCTTATACCTAATTATATGAAATAAAATGAGATATGTACTACAGGTTGCTTAAAAATATGTTTTAAAGTTATATTTTACATTGGACTGCGTAATATTTTGTTTGAAACATGAATTTAAATTATTAACAATACGAGGAACAACATACAGAGTGGTGCTTTCGCCATAAGTATTGAATGCTCTAATTGTTACTAATTTTCTAATAGTATTTTGCCGGCTTTGAATATTATTGGAGATAATGTTTTACTTTTATTAAAAAAAATCTATTTTATAATACTATACTATATTTAGTACGAATTGAAAGTACTTTATTTGAATAATTCAACATCATTATCTTTAATTTTTTTTATACTAGGTGATACAGTTTTTTTAATATTCGGGTTTGTAAATTGAAAATACGTTTAAGATAAGTTTTGAATATTCAGCCATAAATGCTTATGCCATATTCGATTATTGAGTCGGCAAGTACATTCTATAGCATCAGTTTTTTAAAATCTATCTTTAATAATATATAACTTATTTAGAATCCATCTCCAACATTTACTTGTAAAATTATTTTGTAATTAGCTTTTATTCGCTACTTTTTTCGCGTGACCGGGAAATGTCCATTAACCGGGATAAAAATAGTCTATATCCTTCACCATGCCATGTAGTACGTGTGAATTAAATTTCATAGTACTTGGTAAAACCATTGAAGAGCTATAAGGTAACAAAGAAACAAAGTCTCTTTCATATTTATAATATAAAACCCATTCCATAAAACACTGCCATACATAATGTCACATGCCACACTAATACAAGAATAAGTAAATTTAAATTAGATAAAATCCATTTGCTCGCATCTTTATCTTCACTTCCTTATTAGATGTCTGAATTATATAAAGCAACGGATAAGAAAGACTACAAAGTTACTTAAAATGTTTAATGTATTCACAAAGATTAAAAATTAATATTTAATTTCTGTATTGAGGTTTCACTTAAAATTGAATAATATTTTCATAAGTTAGGGACTCAGTAAATGCAAAGTATTTATTATTTAAAAACAATTTTAGATAAAATTTATAATTAAGGTATATTAGTAGATACATTTAATTTAAAAGTATTTCCAAATTAAAAGTACCTGTAACCGGCGAGCGTGTATGAAAAGATTTATGAATGTGGAAGAAGCGAAAGAGGTTTGTTTGAATCGAAGCATTTGGCGTTCCATTGTTTCTGCTTACCCTAATGGGAGACAGGCGTGACAGATATGTATGTATGTATGTAGTAGATACATATTATTTTTTGAGTATAAATGAAAACTATGGCTATATCTGATGTATATATAAGTAGATATCTATATAAATTGAAAGAATTGTCAGCAACGACAAATATGGTAAGTCCATTAAATTCCTGTTTTCCAGTTATATGTAAATAAATACTTAATGAATATAAGATCCAGATACCTACCTAACTGGTTTCCGCGTTGGTATATTTATTTTATCTTTGTATTAATGTAGAAGTCATGAAAACAATTTTTTATGAGACTTAGAATGACAAACTAATAGTTCGGTCCACAGAAAATGATAACCGTCACCTATAGACATAAAGAGGAATATGGAGGCCACAGAATACACTGTGACGCACATATTCCTCATTCGTTACCATAAGCAAGTACCTATTTCTAGAAATTTAGTTATTTCTCTTAATCGGTATATATAACTTCATACATTGTAATAACGAGTCGACAATCAATAGATTGATTTCTAAACTAAATAATTTAGTAACAACGATATTTGTTACAATGTTAGAAATAACGCAAATTGACTAGAAAACAAATTAGACATCTCTTATATTACTTATATTTTCTTATGTTCTAAAAGATCCTAATATCTTTACTAATATCCTAATATAAAGAACTACTGTGCTAATATAAATGTCAAAGTGAGTTTGTTTACCTCTTGACGCTTTAACGGCTCAACCAATCGTCAGTTTTAGCATATACATACTATTTGCGATGTAGAGAGGCATATGCACATATATAGTAATTATTAATATTTTATCTGCATTACTCATAGAATGCTTAAATAACAAAAAAACAACATAGATGTACTCATAAATTATTCTAAATGAAACGCATTGTAAATTTGATATTATGTCTAACAATACTTAGTCTCAGTTTAAAATAATATTATGTTATAATATAAATTAATTTATTAATATTTGTCGTAAGTCAATACTTTATGTGGATCCTAAGATGACCGGCAAATAATATTTCACATTGGGTGGGTAAACTGTAATCGTAATTGTAACTAAATAGTATGATGCTACCCACATTTAACAATGTTGCACCAAAAGTAAATTGAACATTGCAAATGAGTGTATTTATGTTTTAGATTGTACCGTCTTAAGTCAAAGGAAGTTTTTAACTAACCACTGAGATACAGGCTCAGCCTAGTTCAGTGGCTAGTAGATGTAACTATGTGGAAATTGTTATTAAATAAAGAATTATCATTATCATTATCATATGTTACTTTTTATCAATCAATAACGGTCAATCAATGTAATCTATATAAATAAAAATCAAAAGTCGAATCTAAGTGCATCACTTCAGAACGGCTGCACGTATTTGGCTAATTCTTTTTTGGTGTGTTTGTAAATTTTATGTAGATAAGATTTATATGAAAGGAAATGTTTGAGTTATCGTATAGAAAAGAAAAAAAATAGGTTTAAAACTGTCTATATAAAAAAGTCTGTGAGTCAATAAGAGGGAAGATTGATGTCTTTTTATTTATTAGTAGATATAACCATGTGAAACTGGGGCAAGCAGCTAGTATATAATATTTATCGTAATTAATATTATTAACAATCGTTTTCATAAAATGGAAACGAGACGACTTTTTTACAGTAATAATAAAATATACTATATAGAGTTTTAGAATAAATATATACTTAAAGATATTCTATAGTATTTTCTTACCATACTCTTTTGACTGCTTCGTCTCTGTTGCCGTAATATCTCAGTGAATTTCATCAAGAGTTCGAACTGGTTTTGTGTCAAATCAAACAGAGCTGTTTTTTGCACCATCATCATTTTGTCGAAAGTCAGCGGTAGTGGAGTACATTCTGTAAACACTTAAAATACAGCGATTAGTTTAACTTTTTAGCAAAGGTAAGCTTACCTCTAATAGAGATCTTTTCCCGCTAACCCAGTGCAGGAAAATATATATATAATAATATATATATTTAATATATATATATATATATATATATATATATATATATATATATATATATATATATATATATATATATATATATATATATATATATATGTGTCTTACAAGTAGGGATTTCTAATACTTTGGACTGGACCAGACAAGCACGCCTGGGACGTGAGGGAGTCGTCAGGATTTGAAAGAATCAGGAATCGAAGATTTAGACATAGGTTTGGGCCATGACCAATCAACTTATCCCGGTCAGCGGATGGAGTCGCGAATAAAAGCTATCTGAAAAAAACATTGAACAAAAAAAACTTTAAACCCTCACAAACAGTATTAAAATTATTTTTAGATAAAATAAATAACAATAATACACTAAATAAAAATAAGTATGTTTATGGTTTATAAAACAAATAAATAATACGAAAATAAAACGTTATTACTAGCGCTTAGTTCATTTTTATTTATACTGTTCAGTATAAATAAAAATCAGTTATGGAATGTATGCAAACACATCGCGCATCATGTACGGTATTATTATATTTGGCTAATTCTTTTTTTTTTTGTGTTTATAATTATGAGGATAAAGTTAATAGGAAAGAAAATGTTTGAAAAATGAAATTAAAAAGTGAATAATTTAATTTAATATCTCCGTATATAAAAGTGAGACAGTGAGTGAGAAAGAAGACAAATTAAAAATATCGACTCATTCTCCGGGGCGGGTAGCTACGATATCAATAAAATATTAAAAACGTGTTTGTAGAATGATTTAATATATTTTAATCGTATTTCATACTTAATTAAATATTTTGCGAAGATGGTCTTTACAAATCACTTTCATTTAGTCGTCACGTTCATGATGTTGGTAATAAAATTCAAATAAGCTATCTAATTATATTGGGTATAATTCGTATTTGTAAAAAAGCTCTCATATTCCTTTTATTTTTTTTTTATTAAAAACATGTTATTATAATTAATAAATTTGTAATTAGTGGGAACCTTGAGTTTTATTACATACATAACTAGCTAAGCCGGTAGGTTATTTCGCCGCCTACCGGGTACCATTTTTATTTGTTTATAAAAACTATTCTACAATTATATTCAAGTTCGAACAAATAAAATATATTTAATAAATCCATCGATACTTCAGTCAGTACATTTGTTTAAGAATAAGGATATGGTAGAAGTGGCATGTGACCAATATGAAAATAATACCACGTTTGTCTCTCGAGCCAATTTAAATACTAATTTTTTTTACTTAACAACCGTAAAAAATTAATGTGTTTCACAGAATTAAATGTAACGTTTTTTATAGTAATAATATAAATTATTATTTATTCTACTTATTTTGCTATAACATATATGTTGTGGATACTGTATATTTCTCAAATTGATCCATGTCGTGTATAAGTTTTTAAATTTTATATATCGTTGTTACTTTTACTGGTGGGGGTAGCCTAGTTCTACGTTTGCCTAATCAAAGTCGCCTCTTACGATTTTTTTTTTGTATATTTTCAATATATATAATAACGGATTGCTTTTTGTTCTTTATGTATTGCAAAGTAATTTATTAAATGAATATAAAGTGATAACCCTGTTTGAGTGAGAGGAAGTGGGGTACATTTTGACGGCATCGGTGCACTCACAAAGAAAAGTACATGAGTGTTACTTCTACGCAGATTATTCCTATGCATTTATATTTATTACCTAATTCATTTTGGCACGGCAGCTCGGTATTTATATTTTCTAATATATAGACTGGATTAGGTGCGTATTTCCATTTTTGACTAAGAAAGAAAACTGCCTAACCTTATAGAAATGTTTCGTACTTGTATTTATCATTATATTTTTACACCTGGATAAAAAGTGGCCTCATACTTGTCTGTCCTTAAAGCCCTAGGTGTTTGTCAAATTTCATAATGCTTTAATTTATTTAAACTTTAGGTGTAACAAACAAACAATAAGCTATGGTTTCTATAATATTAGCACAAGTAATATTTATAATTATGAATATTTTATTAAAAGAGAGAAATAAATAATCAAATCAAAGCGTAACCCTACCTACCTACAGTGTTCACAAAATCCTACTAAAATTGTACTTAAATATGAAAGTTTGTAAAGGTGTTTGTATGAATAATGAATGAATAGCTGAATGGATTTGGTTTGGTTATATTCTAATTTAACGCAAAAAATACTTTAGAAAGATACTTATTTACTCGAGAAGAATTACATGAAACAGCTAGTGAAAAAACAAAGAAAGGAAACTAGGTGTTTCTGAACCAAAAATTCACTAATATACAATAAATATAGTACTCAGTTTTTATGCCTTTTGATTTGTGATTCAGATGTTGTTTAACAATTTTTTCTTTGGTCGTATTGACGGTGACCTGGGCGTCTAATACAGCGGGGTCCATCTTGACCGTTTGCAATGGATCTGCAAAATAAAATATTTGACAAATAAACAAAAAATTGTTAAAATCATCATAATGGAAAAAAACATTATCTTAAGAATTTTGAAATTTGACTGTAACCACATCGTTTATGTATTCACTTCTACATCCTTTCTAATATTATAAATGTAAAAGTGTTCGTCTATCTGTTACTTCTTGGTGTCCTAATGGCTTCACTAATCTACATGAAATTTGGTATACGTAGTAGTAGCTGAAATAAAAAAGGACAAAAGATACTTTCTATAGTGATCAATCAACGTACCCTTATCATATAAACGAAGTTGTATAAAAGCTATTTCTCTATACATTACGGTATTTATTCTTACTTTCTTACAGTCAGCCTTTTATACATAAACCATTGTATATTGTAATGTAAGCCGCCTGTTTTGCGGTCCCGGTATAGAATAGGCTACTCCTTTCTTTCCCGTGGGTGTTGTAAGAGGTGACCAAGGGAACTTAAGGATCGAGCATCGTCCCTCTTAAAATATCACCAAAGCCTAGCTGCGGTTGCCAAACCGCTTGCCAAGCGTGGCAACTTCTAGTAAAACCCGCCAATAGAGGGAAGCTTATGTTCAGCAGTGGACAGTTAACGGTTGCTATGATGAAGACGATGATGATTGTAATATAAATATATATGTAGTAAAATACATATACAATATTTAATATTTGTTTGTAATACTCTCTTACACTACTGATGTTCACTCAAGATTTCCTATGCCACCGTGTTGAGTAGACTGGAAGATATCTTTTTTTTATAATATATTCCTTTTTAAATTATTTAATTATTTATTTGTTGTGGGTGATCATGGGCGACGGTAGTCACTTACCATCAGGTGAACCGCATGCTCGTTTGCCCCCTGTGTTGTAAATATTGCTGTGTTTCTGAGTGCAATAAAGAATATAATAAATTGAAAAAACAGAGGCTTCAATTGTGATTAAAATAATATGTAACCAACAAAGGAAACCCAATGTATGAAACATTGGTTTTCTTTGAATAAAAGTATCATCAAAATCAGTTTAGATTTATTGGCGACGGTATCGGGTAGCATACACACAAAACAAGCAGAAAAATACGGACTAAAGTCGTGACAAAATTTTATAACATGCTTATACCTACACAATACAGATACAACGTAAACTACATTGCTTAGCTTTACCGTGACCGGTATTTTGATTTAAAGATAATACTACTAAACCGATTCTTAATAAATTGCTAAGACCAATCTAAAAGTATAGCTTTTCAAATGAGTAAAAGAATTTTCTAAATCTGTTTATAAATGACGGACTTATAATGTAGTAAACATAAAAGAAGTACAGTTGAATTAAGAACCACCTCATTTTTTAGTCTTTTAAAAACACAAACAAAATAAAGAAGGTTCTCGATTTAAATTGCTTAAAAACAAAATCCACCCTAATTACCTTCTACGTCACGAACTTTATTTTGATCTGAAAACATCCGTGAGTTTTTGTTCTAAAATTAAGAAAAAAAAATTTACACCCATAAATATAAATATATATTATTAAGTACAGGATTATATCTAAACAGACGTAGTAAGATGTAGACTTACATTTTGAATGTGAAATAAGTAATTATACCTATATATCTGACTATATTTTAAAGAATAATCCAATAGATTCCGAGATTTACCTTATAGAAAACTATAAACATGACATTTTGCACAGAAATTCCTCATTAACTGTTCCCAAAATTTTGTACGCATAAATTTCGATCATAAATTAACCCACAAGAAAGCATTTCGCGCTAACGTTACCTAACATATATGTTCATTCAGACATTGATTTATTGGTACATTTTAATAAAATCCATCCATTAGTTTTTATGTGACGAAAAAAATATTTCACGTAGGTACCTATTTACAAAATCGGCCACATTATAAGTCATTGATATATTTCTAGATAGAGGGAGAAGATTAGATAGGTATAGATTTATTTGAAGTTAGCTTTTTGCTCACTACTTCGCACTCTTAGAACACTTCTAAATGACGCATATATGATATAACATATATATTAGACCTTTAGGGACACAACTGTGAAAACCGTATTTAATTTGGTGCAATCGTTTATGCGTGAAGCTGGAACAAACTTACAGACAGACAAATTTTCTAGAAATTATTATTTAAGTCTTTTTATTCTATCTTTCAAGTATCAGACATCGTCTAATGACGATTATATTATGTTAGTAAGATAAGATTTCTATAAATATTATCTAAGCAAATAATCCGTATATCGAATAATTAAACCTGCACATAAGTGTTAAACTATTTACTTACTTGTGAACGAGAATGTGGTGTAATTTCCTTCACATTTGGCAAAGAATAAGATAAACCACTAAAATTTGTAATATCCATAGTAATAAAACAGATTATATTATACATAAGAACGAGATCGTGAAATTAAAGTGGCCTCGTCACGTACGTTTATGAATATAAACGTTGTTTTGTTCTTGTACCCTACAAACTTTAAATTATAGTTAACATCTGTACGTACGTAGATACCTACCTGTATAAAAATTCTAAAATATCGATCTTTCTATATTCAGCTGTCGTAAATGGAGAATCAAATATTTTAATTTTTAAAGTTCTATTATAATCGCAACTTAGTTACAATTTTTTTTTTGTTTGTTTATTACTGACGATATGGTTGATGGAGGATGGAGCTAAATGGCTTCTTAATGGGCGTTTCAATGATACAAGATAGTTAAATGTAAATTACACATTGGATACCGTGGCCGAGATACACAAGTGTCGACTCATTTCAATCATAAACAACTCATACATTCATAGAATTAAAATGCGAACGGAGAAAAGGAATTGTTAGTAATGGGATCTAACAACCCTATTGCTCACAATACAATCTCCACATAGTTCTCCCTGGAAACCATCGTGGAATCCGTTACGATGGAATCTATCACAAAGGGCTGATTGACCTACCACCTAGACAAAGTACAAATGAATCTATTGATAAAATCAAACCAAAGCTAGTTAATTTGATTTCTACTGAACTAATTTTGATGAAATTTCTGTGGGACTACTCTGTAAGTATATGTTTCAGAATTGAGTATAATTGAGTATGAAGTATAATTTTCAGTTTTGAAAATCAGATAAACTGAAACCTTATTCTACTAAAAGGCGCTTTAAAAATAAAGTTAAACAGTTTTAAAACTGAACAGTACTCTAAATGGATGTAAATAAAGAAACATGAAGTAAATATTCAAAACAAAATGGGTCTTTTATCTGTACATATCTCTATTCTGTAGTTACCTAGCTACTTACCTCTGTCATTATAATGTATGTAAATTGACACGCATCATAGTTGCTATGTAGAATGAAACACTGAAATATATCTCAATGTAACAATAATTGTCACCACGACGTCATTTAACTACGTTTACAAAATAAATTTGAATTAAGTACAATTTCATTACCAAATCTTTGTGTTTTGTCATCATCATCATCATCATTATTATATCATCATATCATCGTTAACTGTCCACTGTTGAACATAGGCCTCCCCCATAAGGAGGGGTTTTGCCAGTAGTTGCCTCGCTTTACAGGTGGGTTAGCAACCGAAATTAAGCTTTGGTGATGTTTTAAAAGGACCGCCGCTACCAATTCCTCAACCATTGAGTTCCCTCTTACGACACCCACGGGAAAAGAAGAGGTAGCTAGTTCTGTGCCAATATGTATTCGAATGTTATTGTTAATTACATTGATTGTTACTATGTAAGTAATGTATACTGTAATAAAATATTAAGAAAAATCTGTACATTGCAATTACTTCCAGAAAATTTAGTGGGAAAGCAAGATATAAGTAACTAAAAAAAAAATTAAAACATGTCTATTTAAGTATAAATCAACGAGTATTACTCATTTATTTTTAACTTACTAAATAAGTAGATACAAACCATTTATATGCTTTATATGCTATGCTATGAATACATTTCTTTTTTTTATTAGCTTTGACGTCAAACCACAAATATTCGGGTGCGTTGTTTGTCTTCGGTCAAACACGCGCTCTCTTACTACATTATAAGCAATAATTTAATAGATATATAAATCAATACAAGTATATACAAGTATAGTATAGTATTATGTGTTCATATATATATATATATATATATATATATATATATATATGAACACATATATATATATATATATACTTTTTAAGGATTTACGTAATCTTCAGATTGTTGTGTTCGCAGTATCAGGTCAAAATTACCATATTGAATCAATCAATGAATCATTTTATTCACATACAATGTTACAAATTGTATTTTAATATAAAATACTATCACATCATCATCATCATAATAGCCCTTAACCATCCACTGCCGAATATAAGCCTCCCCTAGAATAGTTTTCTAGTAGTTGCCACGCTTAGCAGGCGGATTGGCAACCGCAGTTAGGCTTTAGATATGTTTTAAGAGGGACACTGCTGCTCATCCCTCGTCCTCCCTTAATCGCCTCTTACGACACCCACTGGAAAGGAAGGACTAGCCTATTCTATGCCGGGACCACACAATAGTAACAAATAGTAAAATTAAATATTCATCATAATTATTACAAAATTCAATTTACATTATATTTAAACAAGAAAATGCTTCTAATATCTTTTATTTGTATAGGTAATTTGTTCTATGTTCTTAGTCTAGATAAGGCGGACAATGGGGCCGATTCTGAATTGGCAATTCTCTAAATTTATCCCTAACATTAAAATTTCAATTTGATATCAAATCGAAATCTTTATTATAAGAAATAACACGAACAAATTTTCTAATATATTTAAGACAAAATTATTATAAATTTAGCTTTTTTTTTATACAACAGAATGGCAAACAAGCAGACGGCCCATCTGATGGAATGTGGTAACCGTCGCCTATATACATGAGCAGTACCATGGACATAACAGAGTATACTGTTTCGCCCATGATACCCCCCATTCGTTGCCATTCCTGAGGACTCAGGTGTTATTCCTCTGTACCCAGTAAATTCACGCCATATCCCACCCTTCAAACAAAAACACAGCCATGCAAACACAATTGCTTCACGGTTGAAACACGAATGGGACAGAGATACCCAAGCGATCGACTTTTGTATAAAGTCTCCCTCTGCTCTTCCCTACCTAGCTTATGTTAGTCCATAAAAAAAGTAAATTCGCGAATAATAATAAGAGAAATAGCACCTCAGAATCAACTACAATGTTTAATATCTCTAAAATCGGGAAGTATATTTCCCTTGAAGCCTTACTCAACTCTTTGAATTTTTTTTTTATTCTTGAAGTTCATTAGAAGTACAATAATATAAACCTGAAGCAGTTAAAATTCTAAGTATGAATTACATGATTGCTAAATCGCTAGATATCCTTAACATTGCACATATAGCTCTTTTGGCACATAATTAGATCTGTTTATAATGTACTCATTTGTAGTACAAAATTAACCATCTTAAGTATACTAAAATTAACTTTATCACGAGTATTCTAAATTGCGAAATAAGCTGAAGAAACACTATCTTAAATTGCTTAAAAAAATGTAATTTAAATATTTATCAATATGCAAGTGTATCTAAGAATTTAACATCTCTTGTCCAATTTCACTTTCTCAGTTGTCAATATAAATAATATTGTTTTTGTTTTCCTACAGTTCACTTTTATATATTTTATTAACAAACATTGAAAGCATTCAGTGCAAAATTTGTTTTTAATTTTACTCTAGTCATGTTATTAGTTATCAAAAATAAGCAAATTACCTACTTAGTATTATCAAAAAGTGTTAATTCAACGACAGGAATTATTATTGCAGTATCACTAAGTATAGGTCGAAGTAGGTATAAATTTTTTATCATTTTGGTGAAAATTTAATATTTAATTACAATACGCCTTTAATATCAAGTTATACTAAATATTAAACAATAGTCGTCAATATCTATTCTGAAATTGAAAAATATTTATCGCGTTCTGTATACAAATTATAGTACAAGAAATTCTGAAAATTAATGTTTTTATAATTAAGAGCGTTCATAAATTTTGCTTGCCGAATTATGGCATTGCCGCGATTCTCTGTCAATTACCAAAAATAATATATACATTATACGTATATAATTATACTTTCAACATTTCTGATTATTACAAAGTGCTATGATAGCAAACTAAATTACATAACCCGTAACATATCGCATAGGCGACCTTATAGTCAGAGAATGTCCTTCTTTAACATTACCTCTCTTAAGACGCGTCGTATGATTGCAGATTTAATGTTTATTCATAAAATACTCAATAATAGAATTCATTGTGCAGATTTACTGAGTTCACTCCAATTAACGGTACCTCTAAATTATCCTCGACACCCTATAACTAGAACATTTAGCTTACCGCGCTGCAGAACAAACCTAGGACTGCATCAACCTCTGGCCAGGATTAGTGCGTCATACAATGAAATTAATGCCAAATTACCTGAAATTGATATAGTGTACGATAATTCGAATTCCTACAGGAATAAATTGCTGAAGCACTTTGTACAACAATCTTATGAACATTAACTCTAATTGTCATAATATATATTTTTTTAATATTTTTTTTAATTTAATTCACTCATAATCTTATTTTCTGATATTGCTCACAACTTAGATTACATGTTTATTTTTGTTATTTACTTAAATTTCTTACACTGTATAATTATGTTAAAGTGAATGCTGTGAACACCTATAATAGGCATGTGCATTAATATTGTATTGTATTTAATGTTGTTATACCTATGTATATGTTATAATGCAATATGCTGTTGGTGTTTTCTTAAATAAATAAATAAATTTTTTAATCATAGAATTCATTGTATAGAAATCTATCATTAAAAACTTGGCACCTATTTTGATTTTTTTTTTTCAAATACATGTTTGCCATCAAAATCCAAATTTTTAGTAACAGCTTAATAAGAACATAATTGCATGATTAACGTTTTAGTTTATTAGTAGGTTACTTTTTAAATAATCAACCAGAAACATTGATCATTTTCTTTTAAATTAACAGATATTTTATATACACGAACGGGACTTAGCGCGATGAAAAAATAAAACCGGAGCAGTTAAATTTGTCTATTTAAAATATGTGTAAACAACGCGAATGTTTAAAATTGACAGATAATTAATCTAAAATTCTGATATAGGTAGCATATTCATTTATTTTAACATTTATTATAGAAGTAGGTAGGTATTATTTATAGTATATGTATTTATGTAATATTCTAATATATATTAATATTTCATTAACATAACTTAACATAATAACTGTTTATTTGTGTACGTATTGATTAGTGATTCGTATTTGAAGTATTAATAGTTGCTCGTATTAATAGCTGGAACACTTTAGCTGCCCGCTAACGACATGCTTTCCAACTGTATTGGGTTGACTGGAAAAGGTCTTGTTCACAATATTTATAAATGCATTTATATATATATATATATATATATATTCTTCATTGGCATACCCAGTGTCATTTCAACTTTGTTTCTTCTGCGATTATCCTTATTTCGAGTTCTATCCGATACTCTGA